GAAAAATGCCTACAAGGTTTAAGTATATGCCAATAAAAGATATCATAACAGAATATGTATATAGAAAGAAAAGCAATTTTGGGGAATATTATTAGTATCGTACACATAAAATTGTATATGACAGTAGATCATCTAACTAGAAATGTCAAGCAGGCAATTGAGATCACAGGGCTAAATTAGATATGAAAATTTACATTTGTTTAAACTTGATAGAAATTTGAAAAGAGTTCTTAACTAAAACCAAAACATGCATAAGATTATCTAAGGAAAAGGGTAGAGAAAATAAAGAAATCTAAATGAGGATTTAATACTTTATGAAAGATTTAGAGGAAAAGAAGGCATGAAAAGTGAATGCAGAGGGTGGTAAAAGAGCAATACATAATTCTAGTGTTTGAGATGTAAGTGGACTTTAGAAATGACAGTCCAAATTCTTTATTTTATGGTTGAACAGAGGGAACTCCAGAGAAGATACATAATTTATTCCAAGTTATAAAACCCTTTAATGGTAAATCATGGACAATTGAGCTTAATTCTCTGCCCAAAACTCTCTAGTCATATAATCACACTGCCTTCTTTAGGGCAGGAATGGAAATCAAGGGAAGGTATAGAGTGTGAAGAACCATAGAGCGGTCTGGGTAGTTGTGCTTCCATTTTATTCTTTTTTTTTTTTTTTGAGTTGGAGTCTCACTCTGTCACCCAGACTGGAGTGCAGTGGCCGCTCCCGGCCACCACAGCCTCGACCTGCTGGTCTCCGGCGATCCTTTCGCCTCAGCCTACAGGCGCAGGCTACCACGCCCAGCTGATTTTTGATTTATTGTAGAGATGAGGTCTCGCCAAGTTTCCCAGGCAGGTCTCGAACCCGCGGGCTCAGGCAATCCACTCACCTCAGGCTCCCAAAGGCGCGGGATTACAGGCTGAGCCACCAAGCCCGGCTCCATTTTATTTTTTATTACTACATACTCCTATCTTTAAAAGATTGTTGCACTAAAAATACATTTTCTCAATTCGTATGAAATTTTAGTGGAGTTGAAAAAGAGAAGGGAGTTTGAGTAAGAGTAGCTTAAGTGACCGACTTAACAGTTTTATTTAGATCAAGTTCAATCCTTTGTCTAAAATAGGTTGGCAAACATTGACCCTTGGGCCAAATGTGGCCGGCCACCTGTTTTTATAAATAAAATGTTACTGAAATATATCCTTGACTGTTTGTTTATATATAGCCTATGACTGCTTTTACATTACAATGGCAAAATTAAACAGTTGTAATAGAGAACTTATTGCCACAAAGCCTAAAATATTGACTTATTCTTGACAGGAAAAGTTTGTCAGCTTTTGATTTAGAAGGACACTAATCAAATTTTGCTTTTCTCTGTTTGCATGATTATTAAAAATGCAAAAGCAATGGTATTTCTAAGGCTTAAATTAATGTGATTTTAAAATTTATTTTGAAATTGCATTATTTGGGATTCAACAGAGAAGCAAAACTAGTAGACAGATATATAGATAGATATAGATATAGATTTTGATATAGATATAGATAGATATAGATATACAAAAAGAGAGAGAGAGATAAACTAAGGAGTCTAGCTTCACATAGTTTGCAGCTCTGTTGTTTGGAGCATACACATGTAAGATTGTTATGCATTCTTGGTGGATTGACCCTTTTATCAGTATGTAATGTTTTTCTTTGTCTTTGATCATTTCCTTTACTTTGAAGTCTACTTTGAGATTACTAAAGCCACTTCTGCTTTATTTTGATTAATTTTGTGTGTTATATCTTTTGCCATCCTTTTACTTTTGTCCTGCATATATGATTATATTTGAAGTGAGTTTCTTCTTGACAACATATAGTTGGATCATGTTTTTATTCAATATACTGCCAATTTCTATCCTTTAATTGATGAATGAAAATCACTTATACTGAATGTTGTTATTAGCGTTAGGAGTTAAGTCTGCCATTTTTTTTGTTTTATGTTTGTTTCCTCTGTTTATCTTTTTTCTGTTTTATTTTTTATGACTTCCTGTGGACTACTTAAACATTTTTTAGAATTATATTTTCATTTAACCATTGTGTTTTTTAGTGTATCTCTTCATAGAGTTTTTTGTTTTTTGTTTTTTAGTGGCCATTCCAGGTATTACAATACATATGTATAACTTATAGACCTGGTGTTGATATTTTTTACCAGTTTGAGGGAAGTATAGAAACCTTACTTGCGGTATCTCAGTGTGGTTTTGATTTGCATTTATCTGATGACTAGTGAATTTCTTTGCTGACACTTTATGTCTTTGCTAAGAATGTCTTTTTTTGAACTTTTAAATTGTTTTATTTTAAAGATGTAGGGTACAATTAGGGTTAGGTATACAAATGTTCATTATGCAGGTACCCTTGTTGATGAAGTGTGCCCCCCCCCACCCCTGGAAGTTTCCCTCAACTGCCAATTCTGCCCTCACTTCCCTGGCAGTTTCTCACTACTGCCAATTCCTTTCTTATAGTATTATAATTGTTCAAGTTCCACTTATGAGTGAGAACATGTGGTACACTGTTCTTTGCTTTTGTGATGGATCATTGAGTATGATAGACTCTAAATCTATCCACATTGCTGCGAAGTCCATATGTTTGTCCTTATAGCTGTATAATATTCCATTGTATATATGTATCACTTTTTTTTAATCCAGTCCAGCTTCAATGGGTAGCATGGTTGGTTCCATGTTTTTGCTATTTTGAACAGAGCTGCAACAAACACATATGCACAGGTATCTTTTTTATAGAATGGTTTGAATTCCTCTGGGTATATTCCCAATAGGGAGATTGCAGGGACATATGGAAGGTCAATTTCTAGTACTTTCAGAAATTGCCACACTGTCTTCCAAAGAGATTGCACTAGTTTGCATTCCCACCAGCAGTGTAGAAGTGTTCCTTTTTCTCCGCATCCTCACCAGCATCTGTTGTTGTTTGTTTTATTAATGATGGCCATTCTTAATGGGGTTAGGTGGTATCTCAGTGTGGTTTTGATATGCTTTTCTCTAACGATGAGTGAGGCTGAGCACTTTTTCATGTGTCTGTTGGCTCCTGTATCTATTCTTTTGAGAAGTGTCTATTCATGTCTTTTGCCCACTTTTTAATGGGGCTGTTTGTTTGCTTTTTTTTCCTTCAGCACGTTTGAGTTCCTTGTAAGATCCTAGATGTTAGGCCTTTGTCAGATATATAGTTGGCAAATATTTTTTCCCATTCTGTGGGCTGTCTCCCTACTCTCTTGATAGTTCCTTCTGCTTTGCAGAAGCTTTTCAGTTTGATGAGGTCCCACTTTTCTATCTTATCTCTTATGGAATGGGCACTTGGGGTTTTGATCAGGAATTAGTTGCCAGTTCCAATTTCCATAAGGGTGTCTTCTGCATTTTCTAAGATTCCTACAGTTTGAGGTTTTATGTTTATGTCTTTGATCCATTTAGAGTTAATTTTTGTGTATGGTGATAGGTAGGGATCATCTTTCATCTTCTGCATGTGATCAGCCAGTTTTTCCAGCATCATTTACTGAATAGTTTCTCTTTTCCCCAGTGGTTGTTGTTGGAGACTTTGTTGGTTGAGAAATTGAGGCTTTGCTTCTGGAATCTCTATCCTGTTCCATTGGTCTATATGCCTGTTCTTGTACCAATACCAGGCTATTTTGATTATTGTAGCCTTATTTCTTTGCTGACACTTTATGTCTTTGCTAAGAATTTCTATTTTTAAATTTGTTTCAAGTATGTTCATAATTGCTTATTGAAGACTTTTTGTGACAGCTGCTTTGAAATGCTTGTCAGATAATTTTAAAAATCGGTGTCATTTTAGAGTTGGTGTCTGTCGATTGTCTTTTCACATCTAAGTTGAGATTTTCTTGCTTTTTGGCATGATGATAGATTTTATTTTATTTTACTCTGGAATTTTGGGTATTATGTCATAGACTTTGGATCTTATTTAAATCTTCTATTTTAGCAAGCCTCCCTTGACATTGATTGCACCAGTGAGAAGATGGGGCACCACTTTGTTGCTGTCAGGTGGGAGGGAGAAGTCCAAGTTCCTCCATTTGGTCTCTGTTGACAACCCAGAGGTGTGTGCTCTATTAATTGCTATGCTGGGTTAGGAGGAATAGGGAGAAATAAGTCCACTCCATTTTTACCTGAAACTAGGCTGCCATTGATTCATTCTGGCTCAGAAGGAGGACTCCATATTACTGTTTCCCATAGACCTGCACTAACACATGTTGGCTAGGAGAGGCAGGAGTATTTCATTAATGTTCCACAGATACCTTATTATTACTGATTGGAAGTGGAAGTTCAGGTTCCCCATGTTGTCTTCAGTAACATTTATGTGGGGGGGGTGGGGAGTTGGAGGAGCACATTACTGTTGGGAAGGGATAAAAGTCCAGGCTCTCACTCAGCAAAGAGTGATGGAAAAGTGCTTTGTTACCAGTGGGCAAGGGTGAAAGTCTGAGTAGCCCATTCTGCCTTTTACTGGCAGAGGTGGATTTGGAGCCATAGTTTATTCTGTGGTGTTTACTAGAGTAGGTAGGCCAGTTATTTTCTAAAAGTTTTCTGTTTAGTTAAGCTTCCCTTTTCCTGGTCCTTTGACTACAGGCTTTTTTGGTGGACTTTGTCTTATTTTCTCTTGTTAGAATTTCTGGGGTATCTGGCTACTCCAGCACCCAGTCTAGCATATATTAGGCAAAAAGAAAATTCATGGTGTCATTCCTCAGGTCCCAAGATCGCTAGCTGATCTGCCTTCTTCTTCACACCTTTCAGTTTTGTTATATTTGTTTTGTATGTAATGTGCAAAGGTTTTAGTTCTACTTAGCAGGAGGAATAGGGAGAAATAAGTCCACTCCATTTTTACCTGAAACCAGAGAATTAATGTTATTTAGTCATCTGTAAGACAAGGCATCATTTTCTAAATATTCTCATATAGGAACCACCAGAGACTGAGAGTGCAAAAGATTTATTTGGTGGTAGACTTACTTCTGACATGATTGCAGAAGGACAAGGACATTCCAACTTCACCCAAATGCAAGAACTAAATTGGACATCATCATCTATCAGGTACAATCATTTTATTATATGCGTGTTGACATTTTAATTACATCTGTAATTATTATTGTCTGAATTATTATTATACATTTAACATCTTATCTAAATATAACCAATAATTCATAAAATCATCTACCCTACTTCAAAACTCATGCTAACTACACCATCCTTTGAAAAGCATTAATAATTTTTATGAATCAGAGGCCATTATTTTTAAATTTTTATTTTTCTCAGACACTATTATTTAAAATGTCAGATTTTTTTCCTTAGACTATGTGTTTCTTTTTGTTTTACAACCAAGATTTTAAAGTTAGAATATACCAGGTTTGCTCCTTACATCTTATTACTCTAATCCAATGCAATCCTAGTTCCACTGCCACATTTTTTTTTAATTTATATAAATTTGTGGGGTGCAAATGCTGTTTTGTTATATCTATAGCAAGTATAATGGTCATGTTGGGGCTTATAGGGTATCCATCACCCAGATAACATACCTTGTACTCACTGAATAATTTCTCATCATTTATCCCCCTCCCATTACCATTCAATCCACTGCTACATTTCTCTGACATGTTCTCATGAATGTCATCATTGTCCTCCTGGTTAGCAAACCCAATGGATTATTTTTAGTTCTTATCTAACTTGACCTCTCTGAGGCATATAAAAAGGCTGACTCCTCCTTCCTTGTACTTCTTATCGTCCTTTTATTCCCCTGTAAATTCACATTTTTGATTTTCCTGTACACTTCTCAGGGTTTCTTTTATGAGTTTCTACCTTCTGCTCTTCTCAGAATTTTATTCTCGGCCTCTTCCTCTGCAGTATTCCTTTCTCTGCTTTTCTCCTATAATTCCTTCTCTTTTCTCATCTTTTTCTTATTCTGTACTCTTTATGGGCAGACTTATCTTTAACCATAAGTTTGATTTATGGTGATGATCCCCAGAATTATTATTTTAAGCCCAAATCTAGGCTTCTCACATGAATATTTAATTGTTCCCAGGATAACATCTAAGAGGCAACATTTACATGCAGTTGCCCAACTCAAAAAAATCTGAAAACTTCTAAGTAATTTGTTTCTTTTTAGTTTCTATTTTCAATTCATCACCAAGTTGTCTACAGAGTCCATGTCTTAAATATGTCTCATAATTTCTCCTTTCCCTAGTCATAGCCATTGGCCTAGGTTGGGTAATGGACTGTTCTAGAAACTCTCGGTGATCTTTTGTTGTTGGTCTTGTATAAACGTTCTTTGAAAATTCATCTGTTATCCATACTGCCTTCTAAGATGCAAGTCATATCAGATCACTACACTTTTCAAAATTGTTCAATAGTTTTCCATTGTCTACAGAATAAAATTTAAAATTCTTTTGTAAAGCATATGACTCTTTAATTACCTGTCCATTTTTATCTCTTGTAATCCTTATCTTCATTGCTCATGATACTTTATACTTCAGTAATTCTGAAATATTCTAGTGCCTGAATCTTGATAATAAAATATTGTTTCATGTCTGTTCCTGCCTTTGTTTTGCTTGTGCACTGCCTTGATCTCTTCTTCTAATTTGCCTAACAAATAACTACAAACCCTCCAAGTGTCACCTCAGCATCCTTCTCCTCTGTGACATTGTCATACACCTAACTCTATTATAGCAAATTTCCTCTTTATTTTAGTTTTTCTGGCTCCCACTTGTTGAGAGCTGAAACAGTTTCTTTATTTTATTTCATTTTTTATTTTAAAGATGTCGGGTACAATTCATGGTTAGGTATACAAATGTTCATTATGCAGGTATCCCTGTTGATGAGGTGTGCCCCTCCCCTCCCTGGCAGTTTCCCTCAACTACCAATCCCATCCCCTCCCCTTGCAGTTTCCTGCTGCTGCCAATCCCTTTCATATAGTATTATGATAATTGTACAAGGTCCGCTTACAAGTGATACTTACATATGATACTCTGTTCTTTGTTTTTGTGATAGATCACTGACAGTTTCTTTCATCTTTGCTATAGCCTTTCCAAACGCATTGTCTGCACTTAGGAAATGCTAATGAAAATATGTTGAATTAATGAATATTAATGGATAAAAATATGACATAATTATAGCCTCAAGTTTAGGCTTTGTTTAAAGAAGTTGTTTGGGAAAACTCATTTTGTTTTATGCTGTTCTCTGTCATGACTCAAATGAAGATAGAAGAGTTGTACAGCTACAGACTAGGAATCAAGCATTCTGTTTAATTACCAAACATTCATCCAAGGTGGAATACCATCAAGGTTTTCAGGAGATCTCACAGAAAATTCTCTTTACAAACATTACTGACTTCTCCATTTCTTTCTAATCCCTAACCCCTTCCTGGCATTTCAGAAATAACCCACTTCACATATAGTCTTTGATGTTTATAACCTGAAAATCTTATTATTTACTATATCAACTTCACTATGATTTCATGAACATGTACGTGATTCCATGAAGAAAGTGGAAATGTTTATTTTATAAGTGTCTTTTATGATGGGACCGTGTTTATATGGTAATAGATATGTTTTTCTGAAAGCAATCAAATTCTATGTCACTTTCTTACATATGTGATCAACAAAAAAAGTATATTTAGTTGATCATTTGACTTATATGTTTCATATTCAGGCAGTTATGTTTTATAGCATTTGTTAGGTGAGATTTTTTTTTTTAATCTGCCTTTGGGAGTTGTATGTGGAAGAACTTACCTTTTCCTATGTTTTTCCTGTCCTGTGAAAATAACTGTATGTGCTCTGTTTAAATTCAGAACTGTGGATTTAATTCCAGTTGATCAGTTTAGAAATGTGTGTAACGTGAATCTACAGAACAATAATCTGACCTCATTCAGTGGGTTAATTTATCTCCCTAATGTGAAGGTGAGTCACTCATGAATTTTCTTTTGTTTCTTTCAAGGTGTTGAATGCAAGCTATCTTCTTTACTTTGGATTAAAATGTATTTCCATGTTATTAAAGTATAGAAATTGGGCAACCCCCTCAGGTCCCCTCCCACTGTGGGAGCTTTTCTATCCTCTAAATAAATCATGCTTCAAAAAAAAATCAATCAATAGAGAAATTATTCCTAAAGTTATTTTGTATTTTTTGTTTTTTACTAAGCAAGAAAAAAACTTACCTTCCAAAGATATTTTTATTTGATCTCAGTTTTATATGAGTGTCATATGCAGCAAACCTTACTATGCAGGAGGAAATGGAATGGAAAGGTGCCATAGTGAGCAGGTATGAAATGAATTTGATGGTGCTGAGGTTCTTAAAGCAGTTTCCTTTCTTGTTGCTTTGACTAAGTTATTCATGAAGGCCTTTTAAATACAGAGAAATAGCTGTCTCTTGACTAAAGGTATTCTATCTCTTTCAAACTTAGCAAGATCAGATGTGCAGATTGGGAAAACTGGAGTGGCTTTCTAGAATCTCCATTATTTTATCTGAAGTGTTAGAATTCCCCAGTGTGTCAGATTTAAAAACACATTAAAAACTAAATCCAATTAATTTGGGATATAAAAATTTGTTATTTTAACACAAATTTATTATCAAATTATTTGGTATATACCAAGTTTTATCTCTACCACTTTTAATAGTTTTGAGGATATCTGCTTAATAAAATATTCTTTCTGTAGGTCTTATGCCTGAACTATAATCATATTGAATCAATCATGCCCAGACTAAAGCCTCAGACTCACTTAACCAACAGACAACTGCTCTACCAGAAAGTGCCTTCAAGTGGCTATGGACAGCAGGGAACTTCAAAAACTAACAGGTACTATTCTTTATTTTTACAATTATAAATAATTGTAGTTGGAAAATTTTAAAAACAGTTATCCACATTAATGATATCAGCAACACATTACAGTGCATACATTTAGTTTATTTTAATGCTTATTTTACTTAATAGCTACATGCCAAAAATAAACTTCACAAATAAAAAGATACACAAAATATGTATTTTTCATTGCTTATCCCCTGATTCCTTAATTTCATGCCTCTATTGTAAATAACAAAAACAAGAAACAAACAAACAAACACCAAAGTCTTGTACTGAGTGTTTAATGATCTTGGGTTTTTTATTTTTTTAAATTGAGATACAATTCACATAAAACTCATACTTTGTGTACAATTCAGTAATTTTTAGTGTATTCACCAAGTTGTGCAACCATTACCTCTATCTAATTACAGAACATTTTCATCACCCCACAAAGGACTCCTGAACCCAGTGGCATGGATTTGGGTTTCTTTTAGCATTGTTTTGTTTTTATTTCTAAATTATTTTTCTGGTCACTAAATGCCCCAGCACCAATAGAAAAGATACTTTATGAAAAAGATGAGGACACGTTTGCCACCTACCTACACATTTTTGATAGAACATATATGTGTATATGTGTGTTTAAATATATATCTACAAATCAAAGTATTTTTCATTCCATTTTTCCCAATGAAGAACATTCTTTGTGTTTTTAATTACCTCGTTTGAAGTATAAAACTCGCTTATTTAAATATACAACCTGATGAATTATGAGATTCAGTCATATAACCTCTACTACAATCAAAATACAAAATATTCCCATCCCCCTAAATGCCTTCATGTCTCTTTATAATTGGCAACAACCACTAGTCTGCTTTCTATCACTATAGTTTTGCCTTTTTCTAGAATTTCATATGATTGGAATTATATAATGAGCAGTCTTTTGTGTCTGGCATCTTTCACTTAGTATAATGCTTTTACTATTCATCCATTTTGTTGCAAGTGTCAGTAATTCATTTCATTTACTGCTGAATAAGATTCCATTATATGGATTATATGACAAGTTGTTTATTCATTTATCATTGATGGGCAGTTGGGTTATTCCCAGTTGAAGCTATTATGATTAAAGCTACTGTGAACATTTTGTTTATATACATGCTTTTTTTGGAGCTATTCATATTTGTTTTTCAATAGTTTTATTGAAATACAGTTTACAAATCATGCTCACTGATTTTAAGCGTATAATTCAATGATTTTTACTCAATCTATAGAGTTGTACAATCATGACTGCAATACAATTTTAGAACACTTTCATCACACCAAATAGATCCTTCATGTCCATTTGCAGTCAGTTTCCTTTCCCCCCAGCCCCAAACAACCTCTAATCTACTTTCTATAAAGCTGTGTTCTCTAGACACTTCAAATAAATAGGATTATATCATAGACAGTCTATCGCATCTTGCTTCTTACACTTAGCAAGAAGTTTTTGAGATTCATTCATGTTGTGTCATAACTGGATATTCCATTTTATGCATATGCTACATCATGTTTATCTATTCACCAGCTAATGGATATTTGGATTGTTTCTACATTTTGGCTGGTATGAATAATGCTGCTATATATAAATATTAGTGTACAAGTATTTGTGTATACTAATATTTACATTATATGTATCTTAGGTAGATAGCTATAAGTAGAATTCCTGGGTCATATGTACTTTAGTGTTTAACTATTTAAGAAATGGATAAACTTTTTTCCAAAGTGGTTACACCATTTTTCATTACTACCAGCAGTATTTGAGGATTTTAATTTCTCCATAGCTTTGCTAACACTTGTGATTGCTTATTTTGTTGTTGTTGTTGTTGTTATAGCCATTCTAGTAGATTTGAAGTGGTATCTTGTTGTGGTTTTAATTTGCATTTCCCTAATGACTAGTAGTATTGGGAAACTTCTCACATGCTTATTAGCCATTCATATATCTTCTTTGGTGCAATATCTATTCAAATCTAAAACCTAAAAAGCCTAACTTTTTAATAAATAAATAATTTTCAAATATTTTCTATCAATCTGTGGCTTTGTCTTTTTATTTTCTTAAATGGTGTCTTTGTAGAAATCTTAATTTTGATAAAGCCCAATTTACCAATTTTTTTCCCTTACACATTGTGATTTTGGTGTCATATGTAAGAATTCTTTGCTTAACGAAGGTCACAAAGATTTTCTCATGTTTTCTTTAAAAAGTTTTATTGTTTTGCTCTTACATTTAGTCCTATGGTCCATTTGGAGTTAATGTCTGTGTATGTTGTGAGATAAAATGTGAGGTCTAAAACCATCTTTTCATATGTGGATATTTAATTCTCTCAGCACCATTTGTTTAAAACATTATACTTTTCCCTGTAGAATTGCCTTGGCACCTTTACTGAAAATCAACTGTCCATAAATGTAAGAATTTATTTCTAGAATCAGTTATATCCCATTGATCTATATGTCTGTCCTTTTGCCAGTACTAGATTGATTATAATAAATTTTGAAATCAGTGATTTAAGCCATCTAACTTTGTTCTTTCTTAAATTGTTTTGAATATTCTGGGCTCTTTGCATTTTATTTATAAATTTTAAGGTAGGATGATTATTGGGGGAAGAAGCCATCTATGCTTTTGATAAAGATGGTATTGAATCTATTGATCAATGTGGGAGAATTGTCATCTTAGCAATATTGACTCTTTTAAACCATGAATGTGGAATATTTCTCCATTTATTTAGAGCTTCTTTAATTTCTCTCAGCAATGTTTTGTAGTTTTCTGTGTATACATTTTGCACTTTTTTTGTTAAATTTATTGTGGAGTATTTTATTCTTTTTTTTACTATTGTGAATAGAATTGTTTCCTTAATTTATTTTCAGATTATTTCTTACTGGTAGGTAGAAATTCTGTTGATTTTTATATATTACTTTTTTGTCCCATGACTTTGCTGAACTCATTTAATAATTCAAGTCGTTTTTTAGTGGCTCCCTTAGAATTTTCTAAATACAGGATCATGTCATCTGAGAACAAAGACAGTTTTACTTATTCTTATCCAATCTGGATGCATTTTTTTCTTGCCTGATTGCATTTGACTATTGCTTTTCATTGTAATGCTTTATGTACTTTTTTATTTTTTATCATATTGTTAAAGAATGAGAAAGTATTATTATGTAAAATATAAAGAGACTATGTTATAATTTGATTCTGTAATATTAGTAAATTTTTTGTTAGCTTCAATCTATAGTAAATACATATTGGACTGTCTTTTTATAATATAGCTGGTTTGAAATTAAGTTTATAGCCTCAAACTTACCTATGTGTTTCAGAGATGCAATGAGCAATGAAAATTTGCCTCCAATAATGCACAGTTTAGAAGTTCTTCATTTGGGCTACAATGGAATTTGTAATTTAATACAGCTACAACTTAACAGACTAAGAAATTTAAAATTCCTCTTTCTACAAGGTGAGTAGAAACACTGGTGTTGTCTAAGTTTCTTTTATTAAAAACTGACTTTATGATCAACCTGTTTTGATAAGCAAATATAGGCATCAATATTTACTCAAAGATAATCATTAACAAAAATATTTTAGTAATCACAAATGGTTTTTTTTTTTCTATTTTAAAGATGTGGGGCACATTTCAGGATTAGGTATACAAGTGGTCATTTACAGGTAAAGTTTGGATCTCCCTTTGGTCCCCACTTTGTCTGTTGAGATCAGGTACTCTTATTGATGTTATGCACCCCACCAAACCCTGGCAATGTCCCTTTTCTGCCAATCCCTTTCTTATAGCAGTATGGTAAATATTCAGGGTCTGCTTATGAGTGAGAACATGTGGTACTCAATTCTTTGTTTCTGTGATAGATCCCTGAGTATTATAGACTCTAAATCCATCCCAGTGTCTGCTTTACAATGAAAGCTGAGAAGTCCATATGTTTGTCCTTCCACAAATGGGATTTATTGGGCTATTTACGTATTTTAAAAAATATTTTTGAAGAAAAATGCAATATTCTGGGGCTATATATATGTAGTAGTACATCATAATTTACTTTTATATCATATTAAACTCAAAAACAATAAAAAATAATCAGTGAGTAATTCACACGTATTTATTAAACCTAGAATTGTGCTAAGTACTATGAAAGATATGGAAGTACTATATTATTGTAATTTTGTATAATTGAAATTCTTGACTTAAAGTAGTTTAAGACCTACCTGTGGGGATACACAGAGACAAAGATGACTTAAGTTCTGACTCTGCATTGCTAACTTTAGTGCAATAGAAGTTCAAAGAGAAGAGAAATGGAAAGATTAACACCTCTACATTATCTAGGACTCTTTAAAGGATTGATAGACCGAAGATAAACATTACTGAGAGCTTTGCAAGCAGGGAGAGGAGTAGGAAAAGAATCATAGAGCATGATTGTGGTATCTGTGGGCCACTGCCTGAAAAGGGACTAATCTTATGAAAGCAAAGATTATGTAGTTATCTGAGAGAATGATAGAACCTCAACATGATCAATTTGAAAGACAATACATCTTGATATTTATTCACTTGGTTTGGTTTTAAGTAAACCTCATTATTTTATAATAATATTTTATTTTATTTATTTATTTTTTTGAGTTGGAGTCTCACTCTGTCACCCAGGCTGGAGTGCAGTGACATACTCACGGCCACCCCAGCTTCGATCTGCTGGGCTCTGGTGTTCCTTCTGCCTCAGCCTTTCAAGTAGCTAGAATTACAGGCACGTGTTAACATGCCCAGCTAATTTTTTTTTACGTTATTGTAGAGACGAGGTCAAAACAAGGTTTGAAACCATATTTGGTATACTGGTAGCCTTGTTTTGCTAATCCAGTAAAGTACAACTAGCCATTATGGGTACAGATGTGTCTGTCTGTATAACAGACTTCTGGCCAGGATGAATAACGATGGAAAACTTTTATATCTGACCAGATGGTTTCTATACATTTACATGCTGGGTGTGTGGAGGAAGCGAGAGACACTCAAATTAGGCAGAAGTACATAAAAATACAAGAAAGCTTCCCATTATAAGAAGGAACAGAAATGCTAATGAGACTTTTTCCCAACATATCCAATTTGAGGGGGACGATTTTGTCAGTCCTACAGCAAACAGAATAATAAACAGTATAGCAGCTGGCAAGTACAAAGACTGACAAAGCGTAGGCATGTAATTTTAGAAATAATGACTTATCTGTAAGGTGCTGATTCCATTGGGTCCTCAAGTTTTTGCTATGTGTAGATCAGCCAGTCCGGTGTGTGGCTGAAGCAAGGCCGATGGATCCTCAAGTTTTAGCCATGCATAGACTAGCCAGCCCAGAAATGGCTACAGCAGGGCTCAGAGAGTCTGCTTTGGGTTGTCCACTGGCTTCAGTAATCTTCCAGAGAGTCAGCCTAAGGGGAATTGATGGATTTGTGGTGCACTCCCAGTCCTGGGAAGCTGGTTTAACTCTGCTGTAATGGATCCAGGGAACTATTTTGGTTACCTTGACTGCAGTTGGGGTGGACAAAAGGACAGTAAATGGGCCCCTCCAGAGGGGTTTTAGAGGCTGTATATTTCATTTTTTTTTTTTACCCATACCATACCACTTGGTTTAAAGGAATGGGCATTAGTAGTCAAACTAATTGGTGACTATTTTCTGACTTGATAATAGATGGCATTTAAGGCTGAACTTAAGGCTTGCATTTGCTGTTTTAGAGTAAGGTTTCCTAACTCTTTTAAGTCTCCCTGTATGCCTTTAATAAGAGTGGGTGGATGCCCATAAAGGATTTCAAAAGGTAAGAAACCTGTTTGTTTTGTGAGGCTGGACCTTACCCTTAGAAGGACTATTGGCAGAAGTTAGACCCAGCCTAAATGAGTTTCTTGGCATAGCTTACTTAGTTGTGATTTTAAGGTCTGGTTTATTCGCTCCACCTTTACTGAACTTTGTGACCTATAAGTTGTATGGAGCTTCCATTTGATTTGTAGTCCTTTTGCCACCAACTGTACTACCTCGTTTACAAATGCCAGTCCATTGTCTGATCCTGTAGTGATCGGGAGTCCAAACAGAGGAATGATTTTCTTTAACAGGAGTCAGGGCACTTCAGTGGCTTTCTCTGTCCTTGTGGAGAAGGCCTCAATCCATTCCAAGAAAGTACACACAAAAACAAGGAGATATTTGTAGCCTCGGCATCGTGGAAGTTCTGTAAGTCCACGATAGGATCCTCAAAGGGTGTTCCCCCCAACATGTTGCACTTTGGGGGAGACTTTGGGTCCCTGCCATGGGTTATTTTGAGCACAAATTACACATTGTTCACAGACTTCCCTGACAAATGCTGGAGCCAATGATTCTAGAATTGCTATTCGGCCATCTTGATATCTCCACCATCCAGTTTGTAAGTAGTGTCCCGTTTCAGTTTCAAGCCATGTTTTCTCATTTGGTGTGTAGCAAGGGCTCCAGTTTGTCAGTGGGCCAGGAGGCAGCACCGTGGTTATTGGAGTGGTTTTAACAGTCTCTTTTGTTGCTTCAAATTTTGCTTCTTGATCTACTTTGCGATTTCCTGTGGCAGTTATTGCATCTCCCTTTTGATGCCCTTGACAATGTATGACTGTTACCTCTTTTGGTGCCCATACAGCGTCTAGTAGCTCTAGAATTTCCTTGTCATATTTTATGTCTTTTTCCCTGAACTGATTAAACCTTTTTCTTTGTGTAAGGCCCTATGCACATGTAAGGTAGTAAAAGCATACTTGGAATCTGTATAGAAATTAGCGCATAGCCCTGCAGCTAGCTAGAGGGCTCAAGTGAGCACAATGAATTCTGTTTTTGAGCTTAAGTTCCTATCAACAGAGGTTCCATCTTGACTGTGGAGTTTAAAGTTACCATCGAATAGCCAGCGAAGCATTTTCCCTCTCGTATGAAGCTGCTTCCGTCAGTTATGTACTCAACTTCAGGGCCCCTTAAGTCCGGACAACTAGAGAACATTTTATTTATTATTTCAGTGCAACCATGGTCTGGCTGTCCTGGTTCCACAGGTATTAAAGTTGCTGGGTTTAGGGCTTTTACTACCTCTAGGTGAATGCTTGAGTTTTCACAGAGCATTTCCCGATATTTGACCATTCGAACATTGGTTAGTCAGTATTGCCCCTTGTATTCCATTAAGTTTATTACAGCATGAGGCACCCTGACAGTTAGATTTTGTTCCATAGTTAGTCAGCTTCTGTTATTAAGAATGCTGTGGCTTCCAGGGCTTGTAAACAAAGTGGCTAGCCCTGAACCACAGAATCTAGCTGTTTGGATAAATATGCCACGGATCAATGCCATGACCCCAGCATTCGAGTTAAGACCCTCACTGCAATGCCAGTGCATTCATGTATGTATAGAAAGAAAGGCTTAGTTACATCTGGGAGTCCCAGACCAGGTGTATTGGTGAGGGCCTATTTAATTTGTTTGAAGGCCTGTTGTCGAGCCTTTTCCCATAGCAGAGGCTTCTGTTTGCCCCCCTTTGTGGCTTCATAGAGGGCTTTTGCCATGTTGGAGAAGTTAGGTATCCAAATTCTACAGAACCTCACAGCCCCCTCAAAACTCCTGGATTTGACACTGGGTAGTTGGGACTGGAATTGAACACACTGCCTGTTTTCTTTCAGGGCTGAGTTGGCACTGGCCTTGGGGCAAATTAAAATCTAGATGACTAACTTTTTCCTAACATATTTGGGCTTTTTTCTTCAAGACCATGTAACATGCCTCCCATAGGAGGGTGAGCAGTTGTTATGTCTCTTGCATAGAGTTTTTCTTGGTTTGTGCTGCTGACAGCAAGTCATCTACATACTGGAGCAAGGCACAGCCACATTGGTTTGCTGGAAAGTCTTTTAAATTTGAGTCCATACCAAAGATGGTTGGAGAATTCTTGAATCTTTGGGGCAGCTGGGTCCAAGTTAACTGTCCCTTGGCGCCATTAGTTGGGTCCTCCCATTGGAAAGTGAAGATTGGCTGGCTTCCTGGGGCCAGGTGGATGCAGAAGAAGGTATCCTTAAGGTCCAAGCAGGTGAAGAAAGCAGCCTCAGCAGGGACGAGACCTAGCAGTGTATAAGGGTTTGGGATGATGGGGTGTAGAGTGACCATGACCTGGTTTATAGCTCACAAGTCTTGAACTGGTCAATAGTCTTCCATGCCTGGCTTCTGCACTGGCAACAGAGGCATATTCCAAGCACACTGACAAACCTGGAAGATTCTGTAATGCAAGAGCCTCTCTAGGTGCTTGTGGATTCCTACTTGTGCTTTGTGTGGGATGAAATACTGCCTCTGATGGACTGGCCTGACCCCTGGCTTTAGTTCCACAATCACGAGGGGTATATTTCTTGCCAGTCCTGGAGGATTGTCCTCTGCCCACACTCCCAGTACTCGAAATGGCAGCGCTGAAGATTGTTGTGAGGCCTCTGTTAGACTGTAGAGTTGACATTCCTCTTC